GCAGGAGTGAGGCTGGGTATGATCCATGTGTCAGAACCCAGGGCATGCAGGAGGCAAGCAAGAGGGTAGGCATACTGGTATGAATGCAAGTTGGCAGAGTGTGCGTGCATATACTGGCAATGTGCAATTGATACTGGAGGGGGGAGCTCAGTTATAGGGATCCAACACAAGCAAAAACAAAATTTAACTTTATGCAGGCTTGCCAGCAGGAGGAAAGGAGATGAAATTAGCACTTCTGACTAGTGTAAAAAGAAGAAGAGAAGAGATTGGATTTATAGCCCGCCCTTCACTTGGAGTCTCAGAGCGGCTTACAAACTCCTTTCCCTTCCCCTCCCCACAACAGACACCCTGGGAGGTGGGTGGGGCTGAGAGAACTCTGACACAAACTGCTCTTTCAGGAACAGCTGTGCCAGAGCTTGTGACTGACCCAAGGTCACATCAGCAGGTGCAAGTGGAGGAGTGGGGAATCAAACCCGGTTCTCCCAGATTAGAGCCCGCACACTTAACCACTACACCAAACTGGCTCTCTACATAGGATCTCAAGGTGGGAAGGGATCTCAAGGTGGGAAGGAGGCTTGCTACTCCTCCAGTTAGAGGAAGAGGGGAGGGATCAGAGATGTGAAAGAGGCTTGATTGGTTTATTTTGAACAAGAACCGGCTACAACATATAGAATCATAGAATGTTCGAGTTGTAAGGAACCTTGCAGGTCATCTAGTCCAACCCCCTGCACTCTGCAGGAGCACAGCCAAAAGATAGCCCTACAACATACCCGAAAGATGGTCGTCCAGCCTCCGCTTGAAAACGTCCAGCGAAGGAGCATCCACCACCTCCCAAGGCAGTCTGTTCCACTGCTATTTGAAAAAGCATGCATGGACATGAAAGCTCATACCTTGAATAAACGTTTGTTGGTTTTGAAGGTGCCATGGGGCTCTAGATTTATTTAGCTACAATGGAAGTTCCCCTATGAAGCAAACTGGTCCTTAGACTGTAACTCAGAGTCCTTGATTGGTTCAAAACATGCAAAACAATAACCATGGACCATAGCTCCAGTTGGGAAATTCCTGGAGATTTGGGGGTGGCAGTACCAAGGCGGCTAACAAATTAAAAAGCACATCATAAAAATCTCCTCTTAAAAGCCGTTAAAACCAACCAACTAAATATATAATTAAAACAATGGAAACCGGAGCAAAAATGAAATGACACCAGAACTAAAATTGATTAATTAAAACATAGGAGGAGGACGAGATTGGATCTATACCCTGTCTTTTCACTTGGAGTCTCAGAGCGGTTTACAAACTCCTTTCCCTTCCCCTCCCCACAACAGACACCCTGTGAGGTAGGTGGGGCTGAGAGAGCTTTCTCGAGAACTCCTCTTGAGAGAACAGCTCTGCGAGAACTGTGGCCCAAGGTCATCCAGCAGCCGCAAGTGGAGAAGTGGGGAATCAAACCCAGTTCTCCCAGATTAGAGTCTGCACACTTAACCACTACACCAAACTGAAGGGATTGCTGAGGGAAATGCCAAGAAAAAAAAAAAGTCTTCTCCCACTGTTGGGGAAAGAACAAGGGGGACAGACGACTCTCCCTGGGGAGAGAGGTCCAGAGCTTCAGCGCCAAGAAGACCAAGGCCCTCTCTCAGGTTGCCACTGGCCTAATCTCAGGAGGTAAGCGACACAGGGTTGCCAGCCTCCAGGTGGGGCCGGGGGATCTCCCGCTTCTACAACTGATCCCCAGCCGACAGAGATCAGCTCCCCTGGAGAAAATGGCTGTTTTGAAGGGTGGACTCGATGGCCTTGTGCCATGCTGAGGCCCCTCCCCTCCTTAAACCCCGCCCTCTCCCAGATCCACCCCCAAAGTCTCCAGGTATTTTCCAACCCAGACCTGGCAACCCTAAAGCGGCACCTGAAGCAGTGCCTTGGAAGATGACCACAGTGGTCAGGTAGGTTCATAAGGGAGTAGCTGGTCCTTCAGCCAGCCATTCCCGCAGGTGCTCAGCTTTGACTATGCAGGTCGGCTACTGCTAGTCTCATCCCTTTTGCTGGCACATCTCTGTTCCTGCCTAGTGATTCCTGTAAAAATCTGGGCCAAATGATGATTAAAGAGCAGGGCCGGATTTAGACTTGCTGAGGCCCTAAGCTATACAAAACCCAGAGGCCCCCTACTGTTTTAAATTACATCAGCTGGTCTCAGAAAAATTTAAAATATATACGCCTTTTTAATATTTGAAATAATTTTTTATATTGTGTTTTTATTTGAGGCCCCAGCAGATTGCGAGGCCCTAAGCTGTAGCTTATTTAGCTTATGCGTAAATCCGGCACTGTTAAAGAGGAACAGAGACAAGTCAGCCTCTAAAATCCAGTGCTAGGAGGCAGCGTCAGGGAAGGCCTTGGTTTCTGCGCCCTGTACTTCATCCCCCCCCCCCTCGAGTAGATTGGCACCAATGTATTAAAGCAGCTGCAGGATCGTTTCAGCCCATGCCAAAAAAAACTGCACAGGCCCAGCAGTGTTCCCTCTAAGCTGAGTTAGTGTGAGCTAGCTCACAGGTTTTTTAGCCTCCAGCTCACACATTTTTGTCTTCGCTCAGGAAGGGGATGGCTCCAGAGCAAACTAGTTCATGCAGCAGCCAAATTGCTCGCTCACCACTTTCATGCCAGTGGCTCACAAAGTAGAATTTTTGCTCACAAGACTCCATAGCTTAGAGGGAGCATTTCCCCCAGGCAACTCCGCAACGTGTTTTAAAACAGGCGTCCCCAACCTTTTCAAGCCTGTGGGCACCTTAGGAATCCCAACAGAAAGAGGTGGGTGCGACCACAAAACGACTGCTGCAGGAGGCAGAGCCAGCCCAAAATGTCAGGGAGTGAGGGGAATGCATAACTCTAACAGGAACTCTTCAGCATCTCAAGCAGGACCTTGGTTTACATTGTTTTAAAAATATTTTTCTTGCATACCCACAGCTTACCTTCAGTCACACAGTGAAGAGCCTTGTGCTGTGGGGGCAGCTGCTGCCGAAGCAACTTTTAAAATTTTTCATAGCCAACAGCCAATCAGAAGTCCTTCTGGGTAAAAGCCTCACTCACTTCCTAAAAACACTTGGGGGGGCACCACGTTGGGGACCCTTGGTTTAAAGGGCCAGTGCCAATGCTCCCCCTAAGTTGTGGAGTCTTGTGAGCAAAAATTCTACTTTGTGAGTTACTGGTATTAAAGTTGTGTGTGAGCAATTTGGTTACTGCATAAATTAGTTTGCTCTGGAGCCATGGCTGCGAGAGTTGGGCTATAAGGAAGGCCGAGCGCCGAAGAATAGATTCTTTTGAACTATGGTGCTGGAGAAGACTCTTGAGAGTCCCTTGGACTGCAAGAAGATCAAATCAGTCAATCCTAAAAGAAATCAACCCTGACTGTTCCCTGGAAGGCCAGATAATGAAACTGAAGCTCAAATACTTTGTCCACCCAATGAGAAGGGAGCACTCACTGGAGAAAACCCTGATGCTGGGAAAGATTGAAGATGAAAGAAGACGGGGACGGCAAAGGATGAGATGGTTAGACAGTGTAATAGATGCAACGAACATGAAATTGAGCCAACTTCAGAGGACGGCGGAAGACAGGAGGGCCTGGCGAGATCTTGTCCATGGGGTCGCGAAGAGTCGGACTTGACTGTGCGACTGAACAACATCCTTCCTGAGCAAAGATAGAAATGTGAGAGCCAGAGGCTAAAAAACTGTGAGCTAGCTCACACTAACTCAGCTTAGAGGGAACACTGGACTCGGCGCTCTTGTGTCTTTAACAGTAAGCCGACTGCCCAGAGTGTTGTGCTTGTCTGCAGGCTGTGAAAAGCATCAGCTGCTAATTTCTGCAGACCAGGTTTCTGGCACAAGAGGAGGCCAGTTTGCCTCTGGTCAGTTTGTGACACCAGACACCAACCGGATTGTGTGAATTCTCTCTTGGTCCCCCAAATTCTCTTAAGCACAAGGGCTCCAAACAGGAGGGCTGCTCCTCTCCCAGCTTAGCTCCTTTGCCTTCGACAGGCAGACAAGCACCCCTCAGCTCCAGCAAGTTATTGCCTTTGACAGCTGGAAAGTTCCACACTTGAATTTCTCCCTGTGGGTCAACTGTCAAAAAAGACCTGACAGGCGGGAATAGAGGAATGACAAATACAGACATCCATCCCAAACCTTACCTGGATCTCCCCCACCTCTAACCTGTCACTCCCTAGTATGTAGTTTGCAGTAGAGCAGCAAGATTCGCGTCTAGTCGCACTTTGGAGACCAACAAGGTTTCCAGGGTAGAAGGACTCGAATCTTGCCTCCCTATTTATTATACGTTTGCATCCACTGCTTTTTAAAGCCCTGGAGAAAATAAATGCATTGCATTTGGGAAGTGGTCCTGGCAGCTCAGGGGCCACCCCCCCCCCCGTTCAGAATCTGAGATCCAAGGGGGGGGGCTGGAGGGGGGATTAAAATATGGTGGGAAGGGAGCTAGAATCCTAGGGATAGATTTGCACTTTAGGGAGTCAAGAGTCGGGTGAGGGCTGGCAATGTATGCCTATGGATGCTTATTTTTGGGGTGTGCGTGTCAAATGAATAGGGGGGCCCTTTCCCATTCACACGCTCCCCCCCCTTCTTTTCCCCTCTCTGGCAGAAATAGACTACGGCCCCTTTAAATTTACCCAGGAGCCCTTAAAGGAGCCCAAGGGGCCCCGGGGGGGAAAGGCATCCCCACCCTGGCTAGCCGGAGCCTGCCTGGCTCCTCGGCCGCGGAGGGGCCCTTTTGCAAGTAGAGAGACAGAGGCGCATTTAAAACCCGAGCCAAAAAAAAAATTATTATTATATATTTTTTTGTTTTGAAATGAATCTAAGAACAGATCAGTGAATCCCCCCCGCTGTGCTGCTGCTAGAGAATCGCTCCGGAGCGCTGGCTTTGGGTAAGCCGCAGCAGCAGCTTGCCGAGATCTCTTGGTGCAGCTGGGGGGCGAGATATGGATGCCTAAAAAAAAATGCAGCCGGGCATGGAGCCCCCCAGCTTCCCCATCAAGCGGGAGCCCCACGATCCAGGTGAGAACAAAAGGCAGGGCCTGCCAATCCCCCCTCATCCTCTCCCCACCCACCCCTCCCTCAACCCCACCTGCCGGTCTGAGGTGGGCAGAAAGCGGCACCCGAAAGGATGGGGGTGGGGTGGGGTGGAAGCTTGCACATCTGGGAAAGGAGGGAGGGAGGAGAGAGAAAGGAAGAGGCGAGGGTGGCGGTGGCCCTTTAAGATCCCCCCCTTCTCCTCTTTCCATCTTCCTGTCCACATGAGCCTAGCAGATGACATCCCATTCAAAAAAAAAAAAAAGCCAACACATTTCCCCCCCTCTTTTAGGCGTCATAAGCAAAATGGATACTTATGTATGGCAGGCGGGAGGGAAATGGTCTCTTCCTGTGTTGTGCACCCTTCCCCAGAAGATGGAGGGGGGAGCTCTGCTTACCCTTCCTGCCCCTCCCCTGTAGCCAGATGTGGTTTGAAGGGTCTGTATGGACAGACACCCCGGGCCCTTCGAAGCTGGCCTGTCCAATGTTGTACACTTGCCCCTTTAAGAACCCCAATCTCTTCTATGTGCCCCTTTAACATCAGCTCCACCCTATTATCAGCTTTCTTAAAGCTATAGATGTCTGCAATACCTGGCGAGGAGGTCTTTTTCTTTCCCCCTCCGCTGTCAGATTTTGGAGTAGAGGCCTGGGTCATTAATCCAAACCTATCAGTAATAACCCACTGCCTAATAACTCTGAGATTTTTCTCCGACAGATGGTAACAGTTTACTAGTTTGATCCCTGCCCCCTTAAGAACCCTCCCTTTCTTCCCCTCATGCCCCTTTAAGACTGTGGTCCTCCTCGATTTCCAGCCTGAGCTCGGGGTTTCTTAAAGGAACCTTGTACAGTCAGCAGAATTAGCATCTTTTGTTACAATCTTTTGGCAGGCTGTTCTCAAGAGGAGAATGTTATGGTCCAGAATTGCCTCACTCGATCAGAGCCAGGTCTGTTTATTCCAGCCTTCTGTTTCTAACTTGGTAATGGTGTCCCCCTGTTGTTTGTGACCTGGTTTTCAAAGATAGAGTGCTTCCGTACTTGGAGGTTCCGTTTAGCATTTATGGATTTCAGATGGAGGTAGGCCAGTCCTCCATGAGGGCTGGTGTCATGTTATTCCATTACATTTTAACCCTCTAAAGAAACATATATGC